TTTAGTACTTGTAAATTGTTTTGTTATATGACTTGAATTCCTAATGGAATTTGTTAATTTCTTTTGATTTTCATATTTTGAAAATAGTAATGCACTGTTTTTTTTTTATATTGGATATTGGTTTAAAATATCACTGTAGATGATATTCTTTTTGGGTTTGGAGTATTGCGAGATAATCTGGCAATTGTTTTGAGAAAGATTATTATTTTTTAGTACCTCTTATGGTTTAGGTACTTACTTAGTTTTGAAGTTTTTAGTAGCCAGTCGTGCATTTTGGATGCCATTGTGATTCGTGCTTGGACTACTTCTGAAGCTTTTGGTTTATTATTTTTCTCGTCTTAGGTATGACGATGTTTTATGTTTTGGGTTTTTCATCATATGATGATAGTTTTTTTTAAGTGCAACTTCACTGTACTTTTCAGCGAGTTGGTGCTATAACCATCCCTCTTGTTTGGTAGACTTGAGGCTATCCCTTTTTCTTCCAATTCTCTTCTAACATTTTTGTTTCTACCTTACTTTTGCTACTTGTTATCTGGTCGAATGGTTGTACATTTGTCCTTCCGTGATAACTTTCAATTTCCTAGTAAAAAAAAAAAAATTCTTAAATGCTTCTTCGATTTTTTTTTTTTGGTTAAGTTGGGGCGAGTGTAACGGTTTCACCGTCCGATCGTATTTATTAAATCACTTCTCGATTATCATTTCATTAATCCCATCTCTAGCTTTTTTGCTTGGAAAATTTTCCGCTTGGAGCGCTTGATGCGGAGTTCCTGATCTGCGATCTTCCTCGCGCTTCCTTTTCACCTGAGCCGCCGATCGAACAACGGCTAGAAATTTCTTCTCAGTAGCACAAGGTTATATAGCACCATGTGCTAGAATTTTCTAGGATGTGTGTCCGTATAGGACAAAAATGATTGGGGCCACCCCCTTTTCTCTTTCCCTTTCACTTTGCCTAGCCTTGGCCAATATTTTCACCCATGCATGTACCTTGGCAGCGCCATCGCCTTTAACTTCGCCTACAACTGGTTGTGAAGCCACTATATGGAGGTCACCCCTCATAACTGGGACCTCCCCTTCAAACCCCTGGCCATCCTGGCTTCAGTCGAGTAAAAATGGACCAGCGAAAGATAAGTCGATAGCGTTATAGCAGCGCCAAAGATGTAAAACTTATTTTGTTATTTTTGTAAAATTGTAATGTAATGAAAATGCCTTTTTTTTTTGTTAAATAAAATCTGTTAAATTTTTGTGTTCTGTTTGTTCTTCTATCCTCTAGCCATGCCATGGTCGACACACAGCTACACGCCTGTAGATGTCTTCATGCCACCGACTGAGCTACCGGAAGCTAATTGTAACCCCCTTTCTGTGATTGTGCAGAAAAGTTGGAATCTTCATTGCATTCCATCTTTTCTGGACTTTTTGCGGAAAGGAAGCGTTACACCATGTACCCCAGAAAATATAAAGGAAAGGATTAAGGATGCTTTTCTGAACATAAGGCAACACATGCTGAGGGATGTGCAACGGTTATTTATCCAAAGACTACGGCTGAGTATTCAACATGGCGGAGATATTTTCGAGCAGTTTTTGTAGATTAGGTCTTGAGTAGTGATAGTTGTTTGTTTATGTTGTTGTTATAGTTGTTTTTCTCTATTACGCTTGTAGCTGATTTATACTGTTCTGATTGTTATTAGTTTTTACGTCAAATATGTACTCTTAGTGGCACAATATGGAAATAGCCCACTGTTTGTCTTTTGCTTCCATGGATGATTTGATTTTTTTTCCTTAATTTTGGTGTGTTGTTCCATTAAAAGCTTAATAACTTAAAACCTGATTTTATCTGAATCAAACCTTATCCCAAAAAAAGCTTATAAAAAATTCAATCCAAACTTGTACAAATATACATTTTTGAGAAAAAGTGCTATTCGCGTTTTTGACCACCCTGTATGAGCAATAATGAAAATTTGAAAAAGTAACAAATACGGCATAAGCTGAGGTGTGTAATTTTTTTTATACAAGATTCAGCACTCCAAATTTCAAAATGGCGGATTGTGGGGTTGCCGAATTGGACGGTTTACCTGGATCTCAGTAGCTTATTACCAAAACCCCATAGTATGGTATATCAATCTTCTTCTTTTGAATTGGTTTATCCAAATATGCAATAAAATTTGAGGCATTCCATTTAAAAAATGACAACTTTGATATGTAGGTCAAAACTTGGGACTTTATAATTGCCAATATTTCAGAAATGTACCCTCAAATGTCATGTATAACATGCCATAAATACATTTTTCCAAAATGTATTTGTTTACGAGTAATATTCCGTCCACACATGGATGGGCCAGATATAGTCACCAGCCTGAAAGTGATGATTTCGGATATTTTTAGTGTTCTTTTTATATTAATTTTGTTTTTACTATATTTTGTTATATCTACGATAGACATTTTTTTATTAGTATTAAGTTTCAATACTTTTTTAAGGTGTACATCTCAATGATTTGTGAATGTACTAGTTCTACGTGTTTTAATATTTTTAAGCTTCTTTTTTGCTTTCACTTTTTTATACTTTACGGATAGTTATAGCTTCAGTGCATTTTTTTAACTTTAATTTAGACAAACAAATAACCAGTGCCATTTCACGACTTATGAGTTGTTTCTCCAGTTGCCATGATGGCAAATCTGGCAAATAATTAGATTATTGCCACACACAAGGTTTCTTTCGTGGCAGTGTTTTAATTTGTCATTGTTGCTCCTGTACTGGCAACAAATTATAACAATCTGTATTTTTGGCAAATAAAAACTATTATTATCATTATATGCACAAAAGAACCGTTCATTGTCAAAAATATAGATTATATACTGTAGATTTAACAAGTGATTCCTCAATTTTACTTTAAATTTTGTCTAAGTTTTCTGAACTTTTATCTCTGTGTATAATTAATTATATTCAATCAACCCTTGATGGAATACAGAAATACAGATTTGTAGCATATGTTATACTGTTTGGCCATTAAATGGAAGTAATCTTTATTTCTGGTATTATGTAAGTGATGGTCGACATTTGATGATGTTAAATTAGTTAGACTTGATGAAAATATATTATTTTTTACTTAATAAATGAATATCATTACAAGATATTTGATAAAAATTTTTACATTGAGCCATTTTAATTTGCTAAGCATTTGTCTAATGGAGTATATTTGTCTTTATTCAGTATTACAGTACAAAAAATTTGGAAGAATGATGGTATTATAGATAATTTTTCTGCTATATGAACTCAGACATCCAGAAACTCTCGATAAATGTCCCAGTTTACTACTAATCTTATTTATAACTTTTTCATAATGAATATCAAAAATTAATCGAGAGTCAACAAAAATCCCCAGGTATTTAAAATTTTCTATGAATTCAATATCTTCAATTTTTGATGAAATAGTGCCATTAACTTTTGTAATCTGCATCCTTTTAGATAAATAATTTCTAAACCAATCTAAAACACTTCCTGATATACCATATGCCTTCAATTTACCTAACAAAATATCTCTATCAATTGTTTCAAATGCCCTCTTCAAATTCAAAAATACTGCTATGACAACTTCTTCTGCGTCTATGGCTCTTCTCCAATTCTCAGTTACCAACTGGAAAGCCGTTTCTGTGGAATATTTTTTTCGAAAGCTTGCTTGCGCCTACACTAAAATTTTGTTTTCTTCTATAAACTGCATTAATTGGTCATGCACTATGGACTCTAATAATATTTCAATGTCTGATAGCAGATTTACTGGTGTCATATCGCTGCATCTTTTAGAATTTTTTATTTTGGGAACTGGTGTTATTGTAGAGCATTTCAAATTTTCAGGAAAAGAACTGCTTCTCAGTGAACAATTGATCCAATTTAATACAGGATATCCCAAAATTTCGAAACAGTTTTACAGTACGTTTTTAATACTGATTTCGGCACAGTTGTTATTTGATTTTTAAATGTTTACTTTTTTTCTTAGATAATTCAATGATATGGTATAAAGTTTTGAAAGTGTATGCTACACTTCCCCCTGGAAACTGATTTTCATATAGTCAGGTGCAGCATTGGCAGTACATTGCGAAAAATGAGATATAAACGAATCATACTTAGCTCTATGCGTATTTATCATGTTAACAGAAAATTACTCAGACAGCACACAATACTCAAGGAATATTCTGTTTTCATCCAAAATATCCAGCGAACATCATGACGCAAAAATGACGTCATTATTCGGTTACTGTTAGTCAAAAATGTCATTGACTGAGTAATGCCTTTCTTGACGCCATTTTTTATAATAACAACAAGACGACACAAAACATACACCGAGGACTCTTCCTCTACCCCGTAGCGCTCACACGAGAGATTCTCAGCCACCCTCATCACGTGCAGGTTTCGTCTCAACGTGTTATAGCCAGACAACAGTCCCAACAGCAACCTTAGGCTGGCTCTATTCAAGGATCACCGAAAGCCAAGGATCACCCTACGATAAGTTCCCGTGCCTGACGGAGATGTCTGGAGATGCTTCTCCGTTTCTTGCAATCCACTTTCCCATTTTCCTCTCAACTCTTTGCGCGGACACACCTAAAGCTGGCTCAGCGTGCCACGGTACCCACGCTAACAATGCCGGATGAAAATTGATTGAAGAAAAATATGTAACCGAATCATTATACAAAATTGACATTGTAGCATTAATGCTAAATAAATCTTCAACAACAACAACAGCTTTGTCTATCCGGGAATGACGAATCCGTGAGAATTGCGTCACTTGTCGATATGGGAGATTTTGAAATGTCACTAGTTAATCAACTGTAATGGATACTCGTGAAAAATTCTATATGCAAGGGTATTAGGACATAAGGCGATAGAATGTTAGTTCTTCAACACACAGAATTTTTGAAAAAATAACCAAAAGCAATTTCCTATGAGGATTCTGAGGAGTCCGTCTTCAAGGGTATGCAGAAAAACAAAACTTGAGTTCTACTACACGTACCATGTCTCTCCTGAATTCGTAAGTAAATGGTCCACAGTAAGCCAAGAACTCTGCGCTGAGCAAACAATTGCCTATCAACCGTTCTTTTTCCAGGTACAATTGTTTTAGGTCTTCTGTCCACCGCGATTGCTCAGAACTCAAACCGCTGATCAGTTTGTCTGCCGCCTCCAATCTTCTCATCATCAGATCTGTCTCTTCCTGCAGTTGCATTCGTTTTTTCATCGCTGTGGCATACTTCTCGTTCAATTTATTCAGGTCTTCTTCTAATTTGTTTATTTCCCTTGTTAATTTGTCTAAATATTTCTTAGCGGCATTGAATTCTGCTTCCAGCTGTTCTACTCTCTCTTTTTTAGGTTTAACCTGAAACAATACAAGTTGCTAGTTGAAAGTTTTTTCAAGTAGGTCTTAAATAGAATTTGTTCTATTAGACCAAAAAGATTAATGCTGTATTTTTTTCAGACTTAATTTAAAAATTTAAAACTATATTTTTTTTAGACAGGCGAAAATGCTGTCCGTCATGTTTGGCCCATATATTAATGTCATACCATTTGTAGTAGTAGTAATAATAATAGAAAGATTTATTTAGCACATTTGGCTACATAAACAGAATAATTGTAAACAACTTGGAATTAGTAAATATGATGTATGATGTAAATGCTGGGCAAGCTATAATTATAGATTTAACAAGTGATTCCTCAGTTTTACTTTAAATTTTGTCAAAGTTCTCTGGTCTTTTATCTCTGTGCATAATTTATTATATTCGATCAACCCTTCATGGAATACAGATTTGTAGCATATGTTATACTTTTTGGTCATTAAATGGAAATCATCATTTCTGGTATTATGTAAATGATGGTCGGCATTTGATGATGTTAATTTAGTTAGACTTGATGGAAATATATTATTTTTTACTTTATAAAAAAATATCATTACAAGATATTTGATACAATTTTTTACATTGAGCCATTTTAATTTGCTAAGCATTTGTCTAATTGGAGTATATTTATCTTTATTCATCATTATTCTCATGCACTTGTTTTGTAACATTTGCAGTATTTCAAAAATTGAATTATTTGCTAAATATAGAATAGTCGAGCAATACAAGAAATTTTGAAGAATGATGGTATTATAGGTGTAGATAATTTTTCTGCTATATGAACTCAGACATTCAGAGACTCTTGATAAATATCCCACTTTACTTCTAATCTTATTTATAACTTTTTCATAATGAATATCAAAAATTAATCGAGAGTCAACAAAAACCCCCAGGTATTTAAAATTTTCTTTGAAATATCTTTACCATCAATATTCAGTTGAACATTTGTACATTGCTTTTTTTCGTTTTACTTGTATTTTATTTGAGTCTGTTAGATGCTAACCATTTTGAGACAAGTTTCAAGTCTTCATTTATATAAGAGATACCAGTCTGAATATTCTTACTACGTATATAAATCATATTGTCATCGGCGAAAATCTGAATTTTGAATTTTTTGACTATGGCAGGTAAATCGTTTATGTATAAAATAAAAAGAAGTGGTCCCAGGATACTGCCCTGTGGAACACCCAACGTGTTTTCAATTTTTGATGAAATAGTGTCATTAACTTTTGTAACTTGCATCCTTTTAGACAAATAATTTCTAAACCAATCTCAAACACTTCCTGATATACCATATGCCTTCAATTTACCTAACAAAATATCTCTATCAATCGTTTCATATGCCCTCTCCAAATCCAAAAATGCTGCTACGACAATTTCTTCTGAGTCTATGGCTCTTCTCCAATTCTCAGTTACCAACTGGAAAGCCGTTTCTGTGGAATATTTTTTTTTCCACTAAAATTTTATTTTCTTCTATAAACTGCATTAATTGGTTATGCACTATGGACTCTAATAATTTTTCAACGTCTGGTAACACATTTACTGGTCTCATATCGCTTCACCTTTTAGAATTTTTTATTTTGGGAACTGGTGTTATTGTAGAGCATTTCAATTTTTCAGGAAAAGAACTGCTTCTCAGTGAACAATTGATCCAATTTAATACAGGATATCCCAAATTTTCAGCACGTTCTTAGTAGTGATTTCGGCACAGTTGTTCGATTTTAAACTGTTTACTTTTTTCTCAGATTTGAACGTGTATGCAACACTTTCCCCTGGAGACTGATTTTCATATAGTCAGGCGCAACATTTACAGTACCCACAATATCAACAATACATTCCACTAAATATTCATTTAGTTTGCTTGCAATCACCAAAGAATTTGTTTCGGTACCGTTATCAAATTGAACTTCATTTACACAATCAAGCGGCTTTGAATTGATCAGTCTGTTTGAAGTTTTCCACATGTTTACACTTGTTATTATCGATTTGTTTATCGTAGAGTTTCTTTATTGCTTCTCTAATTACATACAAAAATTTATTCCTAAGGGTTTTATATACCTCCCAATCATCATTTGATTTTGTGAACATACATTTTTTGTATCGTTCGTCTTTCAAATTTTGAGCTGCCTTAATATTTTGTTATACCATTGAAGAGCAACTAGCAGCATAACCTCTCAAGCTTTTAAATATATAGTTTACCTCGAAAATATATTATTTATCGTTATCGTAACGTCCGAGAATGTACAAAAAAATCGATAAAGACTCCAAGAAAGTTGTGAATTAGAGAAGTACAATATTAGATAAAATTATTCAAGGTTATGATGCCTGAGCTTAGTTTCGAACCACTTCTGTAAAGGAAGATTATGTGTTATTCTTTCTTTTTATGTTTAGTATTATATCAGTTTCACTGTACTTAGAAAAACGTCACTGTCTTGTCTACTAACAGCACATTAGGTAGTTCTAAAAAGAGAGCAATTTGCTTATTTCAGAGAAGATTTATAACTGCTGGTGATAATATCTAGAGTAATGGAGGCTACGAGCCCCTTCCCACTTTCGAATTGCTTGCAGATCCGTCCTCACTATAAACCGCATTTTTCAAAAATGAAAGACAAAGTCCCGCTGCTTGGCTTAACTAACACAGTCTACTCCATCAATTGCAACAACTGCAACCAACTATACATAGGTCAGACCTCCAGATCTCTTAAAGGAAGGATTACATCACACAAAAGTGATGCTAGGCTTCATCCTGAAAGATGCGCTCTAGCATCTCATGTTAACACAACAGGGCATTCTATGAATTACACAAGTATCAAAGTTCTTGATAAAGAAAAACACCTTTCCAAACGTTTATTCCTGGAAATGTCCCACATTTTCATGAATAACAACTGTATCAACAAAAAGACAGATATTAAACAACTGAGTGTCATTTACTCATATTTGCTAAACTGCGAAAAATTGGAGAACTTACATATCTCCCCAAATTTCGACTTTTCACAACCATAAATATAATCTGTGTTTTGGCCGATTTCACCAACAAATTTCATTCCACTCAAAACCTAATAATTCTCTTCTCACGATTTATTAATAATTGTTAATTTAAAATTCCCATTAATTAAAATATAGTTTATTCAACTGCCTCTGGTCGGTTTAACAATTTCTTACATAACATTCTGAAAATCACATGATCTGAAGTGATTTGGCAACGTTTTGGCACACGCCCACAATTCGTTCCATCTATCAACACAGACATTGACAACCTTCGGCCTTCTGTCAAAGGTTCATCTCACTCATTATTCCATGACCACCATTTTGTGCAATCATCAAGTGGCTTCACGACGTAATGCTCTAATGTTTTCTAAATAATTTTTAATCTGTCTTTAACTTGTCTTGTTATATTTTATATAACTTTAACCATTGTACCATGTATCCAGCTCTCACCATGTTACTGGACGTTTCCCTCATCCTATACGAAAACAACAATTAGCAACATCCTCACATACTACTGTAAGTTAATTCAATTTAAATTCATTTTACACTTTTGTTGCTACTGTTATCATTGTAATTGCAGCTCCTGATGATGATGGCAAAGTCCATTGAAAGCTAGAGAGAATTAAAAAAAGTATAAAGAGTCCTCTTTGCTTAAATTTTGTCGAAGTACCCAACAAAAGGCGGAAGCTTCAATTTTTCACCTATATATATATATATATATATATATATATATATATATATATATATGATTACTATCAATATATATATATATATATAATTACTATCAATATATATATATAATTACTATCAATATATATATAATATATATATTGATAGTAAACTAAAGTTTGAGGATCACTATGAATACATTATTTCAAAAATTGCCAAAAAACAAATTACTTTTATAGGTCTTCTCATAGTCTTGGTACCTATTCCAAGAAAATAGTTTATAATACAATTATTCTACCGCATTTACTGTATTGTTCAACTATCTTGTTCACTGCCAATCAAGCTGTATTCTCAAAATTACAAGTCTTACAAAATAAAGCTATGAGAATAATATTGAACAAAAATACGTACACCAGAATAAAATCTATGTTACAAGAATTGCAATGGTTGACTATAAAAAATTTCATATCATATTTGGTTCTTATTTTTATGTTTAAAATAAAAAATCATCTTTTGCCACAGTACTTAAAACACTACATAGAATTGAATAATCGTTAACACAATTATTATACAAGAGGAAATAAAGATTTTCATTTACAAAATTGCTATAGTAATATAACTAGCAAATCAATATTTCAGAAAGGATTACTTGAATTTAATAAACTAAATAATGATATAAAGTCTACTTGTAATTTAAAGATATTTAAAAGAAAATTAAAGGAATATTTCATGGACAACGAAAATTCTTAGAGATGCAAATTTTGTTTTCTTGTATATTGTTTGTATGTTATGTAATTGTTTAGTTTTTTAGAAGAATGTGATTTTAGCAATTATGCTGAATAAATCTTAAACAAACAAACAAACAAATCGTTCTCTTTTTCCAAATTCAGCAAATTTGCATACGTAATTCTCAGAGTGAATAAGAAAAAGTGGATGCGCAACTAATTTTTAGCTTTGCATACATCTCAAATAAATGTATTTAAGACAAAAAATCAATGAAATCATCTTTAACACAGGTTATTAACACACAAATCCTCACTATGCACCCATGCACTGCCGTTTCCTTCTAGATATAGTATACAACTTACAGCTTAGGCCCGTATCGTCAGTCGTCCCTACAATTGTAGGGCTCGTTTATGACCTCCTTGATTGTCATACTCCTTTCTCTCCTTCAAAAATTTATAGATTACCCTTGTCCCGTGTCAGCGTCAGCGGTCTCCTATTGTGAAGATATGTTTTCTTTTCAAATTGTAGGAAATTTCAGGCTGATAAAACATGATATAACTCAAAAGCAAGGACAATTTGATGCAAATAGATGTTTGTGACCTAATCTCAAAATAGGGTTCTGACACGGAGAAGTAGAAAACTATGACAATCAAGGAGGCCATAAAGGCGCCCTACAATTGTAGGGACGACTGACGATACGGGCCTTAGTCATCCAATAATGCCGTCTCTGAAGCAGTTGATTCATCACATCAGAGCCAAGCATTGATAGCTGAAGCATCATGATGTTTAGGCAACACGTATAACTACGGAGCAAGTACAGAACAAGTGTATAACAGCTAATGCTAAGTTAAAATCTTGTAGAAAAGTCGACATAAGACCACTTTTCAAGATACGTAATACCCCTGCAGGTGTATTCACCTATTTTTGACGTATCAGACATATTTACCTCTCTATAGACTTCACAATATCCTAGTACAGCTGTTACAAATTTGAGGAGACCATATCCCGCTTTGCTAATGCTGGCCATTTCTCCAAGCTTCGATGATTTCTTCATGTGTTGCTTGACAGCTAATTGTTGCTTCTGGGTAATTGCATCACAATTCATTTCTTGCAGTGTTCGTAGAAAACTTGCCTCGGCCATCATACCTAAGATATAACTTTCATGTCATGATGTCTTATGAAGCCCAGGCTGCTAGATGTAGAGCTAGGGCTAATAAGTGACGTTTAAATTTTTCTTAAAAAAATACACCGTGTAAATAGGTATTACTATGTAGTGCCCTAGTAAGACGCTAGTCCAATCATAAATATTCCTGAAAAGTTGTGAAATTTGGATTTATAGATACAAGTTGTTCAAGGGGATATTCAAAACATGGACGCCTAAAATGGGTACACCAATTTTTGTGGGAAAACTTTTTATTCGACAACACAGAATGAGAAAACGCTTTTTTTGGGATTCAATCAAAAGTGTTAGTAGGAACGAAAAATTCTTCAAATAAGATTTTTAGATATTTATGAGTCCTACAAAATGAGGCCACGCGTAAAAAGGTCCGACTAATAACAAAAAAGTTATGGCCGAAAATCCGGGCAAAATGCAAGTTTTGGCACTTGTTCGTAATGCGACGATAATTTCACGCAGCTACTCGAAATTTTTCAGACCCGTATGCTTCATACTTCTAAATAACCCCAAAAAAAATTGGAGTATATTGGTCCGTAGCTTTTGAGAATTTCTAATTGTTTATCCAAAAACACCGGCATTTGATAGCAGAATACATGAACTTACCTTGCCGAAATTAATTCCAAACCATTCCGAAAGATAAAGGTTATTTTTATGCGAAAAACAAAGGGTTTCTCTTCTAAACAAATTCAACATTTCGTAATTGTGAGTAGTTGAAAAGATGTGCTTCGATATTCGAAAAATGTATGTGTTAGAGTATTCTAGTGGACTGTATAGCGGCTGGTTCAAGAATGCAATGTGGTTGTCGCCTACCTTTGATCCGGTATTCTGTCTAATTCTGGTACGTATTCCTGGCGTAGCGGTCATGCAGGAGCGTGAAGATTGCGGGTGTGGGAGCGGTTCTGACTCTATGCGGTTGCTGCGTATATGCGGTTTCTGACTATATGCGGTTGCTGCATAGACACGTGGCCTCACTGTACCGGTTACGGCGTATACGTTATATGTAGTCTCACTGTGATCTAGTATCTCTCTTCTTTTTACAACTCATACTCGCCATAAAATAAAGCCAACCCAAATATCCCTAACAGTTTGTTATTATACACATTTTACAACAAATCAATCACCTTTTGTTGCGAAGAATATTTTTTTCAAGATTTCTTCGTACTTTTACGAATACATGTTCAGGGCTGAAATTTTTACACGGTCACAGATGAAATTTTATAAAAAAAACTATTGTTATTATTACACTAAAATGCACTGAACTGTTTATAAAGTTATCACGTAAACTGAAGACACAATTATGTTTCAAACTGTGTTAGCCTAGTTAGCATGTAGCATGTGCTAACTGGCTGCACTATTGATGACTGCATGGCCCTAATGAATAAAAATGTAGGAATTGCTTTGTCTTACAAAATTGAAGGAAAAGCTTAAGAACCTATGAATAAAAGTCTGAGTAATTGCTTTTGCCTTCAGCAATTGCTTAAAGTTGCAGCAATTGGTTTGAGATAAAGCTTTTTCTTAAAAAACACCAGCTATTGCTTAAACAAGCTTAGAATGGGCTGAATAAGACACGCAATCGCTATTTCTAGTGTAGTAATTGCTATTAGATATTTAAAGTAGGTCCCAGCTTGCGTTTGCTATTTTAATAATATTTTGTTCGGCTTCAACAGTCGCAATGGAATACTTTAAATAAAATTATTCGGATCAAATTTTGGAGCCACAAATTTTGAAAGCCTTTTGTAAATAAAATTTTAATAATAGTCAACCAAGGCCAGACGTTCTTTTCTTCTGTTTTGAGGATTGTCTTGTCTGTAACAAACAACTTCTATTGAACAGCAGGTAATATAATTCTTGGTTCGGTTCTATTTGAGCCACAATTAAGGAATCACAGACCAAGGCTAGGTCGATGAACTTTTTGTTGTAAATAGCTGATAAAGTAAGGAGTTTTTAAGACAGTTCTGCATAGAAAGAACATGTTTTCCATTTTTAAAGAGCATTCAAGTTGTTGCACTTTTTTGTTATGTGCGATGCTTTTAATAAAATTTACAAGGTAGGATCAGTTACTTGACTAGATTGATCTTAAGATAGTTAAGCCTTAAGATTTACCTGAATAATAACGAAAAAAGCAAGCACTTAACACAATTATTTTGAAGTTATCGCCAAAATAAGCACGAACCTCGAAAATTCTTGAAAAATCCGAAAAAGAATCATAACTCCTAATCTAAAAAGAATCGGACCATATATATGGGGATAATTCAGATACCTCTTGACCTGAAGGATCTATTTTTTTATGACGTCACTTGTTGGCCACCCTGTATAGTGTCTCAATATGTACGTAGAAAGTCATTTAAACAAAAGACATCAGCTAGCTGTCGTTTGAGGAAACCGTAGTATTTGTCTACAATAGTGTCGAGGTTACTCTATACGTATATACAGGGTGTCCGCAAAGTTGGGGTTTTCCTTTTCAGAAACAACTACCCTTGAAATAACAAAGGTAATGTGTAGTGAAACGAGGGCGACCAAGTAAAAAAAATAAGGAAAAAGTACTCACTCTCCAGTTGACGAGAAGATCTAAGTACGTCTCTGACGAAATCATACCGCTCCAACAGAAAATGAAATCAGCTGATGAGCATACCGTTCACCATGCAGCTCAAACATTCACCGAAAATGTTTGTTGAAAATGTGCCCGACGGACAGCGTGCGGATTTTCTACTGACCAAACATGAGTGTTATTCACCCCATTACGCGTGAACGTAGATTCGTCTGTCACCAATATGCACTTAAAAAAGTCCGGATTATTGTCATGTTGATGCAACAACCACTCACAAAACCGCACTCTTGCTGGAAAATCGTCAGGTTGAAGGGCTTGTACACCTTGGACGTGAAACGGATACAGCCCCTCTTCACGCAGCGTTTGTCACACTTTAGTTTTTGATACTTGCACTTCTCTAGCCACGTCTCTAGAGCTTGTTGAGGTATTCTCGTCTACGCGATTACCTCTACACGCGTGACCGTAACCGTCGATTGAAGGTTGCATACTGACCTGACACACTGACCCCGATCCCCGACCCAGTTCTGTCGTCGGGTTGAGCTAGTAGCCGGTACCAGTTGGGGATATCGCGAGTCGCGGCTACAGGACGGTATTCAGATATTTTTGATGTTGCAGAGCACTTTATCTCGGTTCCCTTAAGACATTGATGTATATGGTACTAAGAAAAGTTGCTTATGTTTTCAAGATCTACACGTCGTGTAAAGGAAAACCCCAACTTTGCGGACACCCTGTATACTAATTGCGTTAAAAATATATTACTTTTACAAGAAGAAGGAACGTTTGGGAAACCTTGTGTGACCGTGTAAAAATTTCAGCTCTGAATATCTATACATAAGAGTAAGAAAAATCTTGAAAAAAACTTTTATATCTTAGCAACAACGGTGATAGACACTTACGCTTTATTTTAACTCGTATGTTTCTCGAATATCGTAGCGCGTCTTTCAATTCCTCAGAAATACGAACTGTTGGAATTTGTTTAAAAGAAAAAAACGCATCCTTTCGTTTTTGTAATGAAGATAACCTATATCTTCCGGAATGGTTTGTGATTAATATCGGCAGGTAAACTGGTGTATTTTGCTATGAAATGCCTTTTGATCGAACCCTCTATATTGCTCAACAAGCTATGGCAGCAAAACAGGTGTTTGGGATAAACAATTAGAAATTCTCAAAAACTGCTAGTTTACTCAAATTTTGTTGTGGTTATATGAAAGTATGAAGAGAACGGATATAAAGAATTTCAAGCATCTGCCTGAAATCATCTAAGAAACTGGTGCCAAAACCTGCATTTTGCCTAGGTTTTCGACCATAACTTTTTTGTTATTAGTCGGATCTTTTTACGCGTGATCTCATTTTGTACGTCTCGTAAATACCTAAAAATCATATTTGAAAGGTTTTTTTCGTTCCTGCCAGCACTTTTGATGGAATCCGAACAACACGTTTTCTCGTTCTTTGTTGTCGAATAAAAAGTTTTCCCACAAAAATCGGTGTACCATTTTATGCGTTCATGTTTTCAATACCCTCTTGAACAACTTGCACCAATAAAACCAAGCTTCACAATTATTTATGCGATGATTTTTTAAATGTTGACTCAATTGTATGACTCCTAAATGTACCCATCCATTCCGCTTAACCTTTAATATGTATCACTCAGTATATGATGGTTCTCTGAATATTTCGTCAAGTACTCGCGTCTCGAATCAGTACTTATTACGCATTGATATTACTACAGACACGGACTGACAAACCGAGATAATGAGAAACTCTTGAGTGATGCTCATATTTTAAGCACAGAATAATTATGATTTAGAGGTCGAATATTTTCGCGAGTGCAATACCCCATCGTTTAGGTAGTCGTAGATTTGAAAACCGATTCAGTAGCGGCAGAACTATGGTAAAAAAAATTAAATTCGTTGGAATCGTGTTACAACGTTTCAGGATTCCTGCGCATTTCAGCCATTGTTTTGAAGGTCGATATTGTAGGTTGCAAGCTATATGCGGTAAATGGTCGTAAATTGATGGTGTCAGTGGAAGATTATCAAGAAGCTGCTGGATTCAGCAACATTATGCACCTTTTAGGCATAATGAGGCACCATATTTTTTCCTACACCTGCCACGAAAATAGAATATAGATTCATTTTATACAGGGTGTTCCTTAATGATACGCAAATATTTAAGGTTGTGCATCCTACATAAAAAATGAATGTTAGTTTGCTTATAAATTATGGTCCAAAAATGTTTCCTTACAAAAACTCGGGGTGTTGAAGTTTTAGAAAAACTGGAAATTAATTAATATTTTCAGAACCGTTTCAGATATTTCACTGATATTTAGTACGTAGTGAATAGCTAATAAAGGTTAAGTAAATGGCGGAAATGCATTACGTATATATGGCCTTGCGGACGATAATGGTGAGCAGCCAGACGGA